TTCTGGTTCTGGGGATGCAGAGCAGAACCAGAACCAGAAGACCTCTGGAAGGTTGAAACAACAGCAGCAGACCTTTAATGTATTGTGGCCCTAAACCGTTCAGTGATTTACAAACTAACAGAAGAAACTTAAAGTCTATTCTCTGAGCTACAGGGAGCCAGTGGAAGGACTTTACCAATGGTGACTCAAGTTCTCACTAACAGAAGGAAGACAGAGCTCATCACCCCAGCTTTAGTCGGCCACAACATGTTGAACTAAAAAATGTTGAACATTGTGGTTGTCGGGTGAAGATTTCCAAGTAAGACGTGCGCTTCGTGATGTCTATAGCTGCTCATCCTGGCAGGGTCATGGGGGTCGGGTTGTTGGGGTGTCGACAGGTCTCCAGTATGTCACAGGATGCAATACAAATACGTTTAAGACACCATAAATACACACACTCATATGGTGGCAATTTGGACAGACCAGTTAATCCAGAGTATCTGGAATAATATGCATGCACAAGGAAAAACATGCAAACACCAGGCAGAAAGATGTCAGGCCTGGATTCGAGCCCTGGTCCTTCTTGCTGCAAGGCAACCGTCCTGAAAACTGTGTTTTAACTGTATTAAACTGCATTATATTAATCGGTTAATATTAGTTATTCTACAGCCATATCAGTGTCCTGACAACTGGGGGTTTGATATAACAACCAGATTATTTCTGATTTTTTTTCTTTTTACCAATCATGATTACAGAAAACAGCTTTGAAGACTTTTACTCTCAATAATTATTATTATTTCTTTTTTATATTCAGCGATGTCTAAGATCAGGAGTCAACCTGAGACATAAAATATGGCCTAATAAATTATCCCATTTCACAACTGTGATGCGACAAGAGCGATGTCTGTTTTGGATTTTCTCAAGGAGAGTTCATTCCTCTCACAGTTACGACTCGCCGGAACTTGAGAGAGCAGGACTCTTTGGAGAAGAACTGGACTGATTCTCAGCGATTCAGTCCTCGGTTCAGATGAGCTTTTCAGTTCATTTGTAGATCAATACATAGAACTGCAACGAGTCTTTGAAGCGTGACAGCATGTGGTGACAGTGGAAAGTAAAAACTTGTAGTGGAAATAAATAGATTAACTGTATTATTATTATTATTATTATTATTTTACTATTGTCTTTTCAGGTTCAAAATCATACAAAAAGAAAGAGAGAAAAAAAATACACGTTAAATATCATATAGAGGATAGAAAAGGAAAGGAGAGAAAGTCAATAAGCTCCATATTTTTCCCACCATTAAACTGATTTAGGTCTGCAGAACGTTACGGTGCCTTGCTACACCTGATGGGTTGAGTCATCAGTGATGCAAAGGGCTAAGCCTGCAATTTTATGACGGTTCTGGAGCAGAAAACGCACAGCAGCGGTGTGTTTGCTGATCCAATAACCCAGAGAGAAAGTTAGCGACATAAAATAAGCTGCTCAAACACAAAAACGACTGAAAATCCAGAAAAAAAAAAAAAAAAAAAAAAAAAGCCTGGATTATAAAAAAAACCCAAAACATAATGGCAATCTGTAAATCTGCAGCAAGCAGTGCATTGAACTGGACGCAGTTGTCCTTAAAACAACAGGCTGGTGGAGGCAAACTGTTGGTGGCACAAGTGTCGGGTTTGGAGGGAAACTCACAGAAAGAAAAGATGTTGCTGATTTTAAACATACAAGAGAAACTCAGAGCTGAAGACATCCTTTCCTGGGTCGTAAAGGTGTCACCGTGAATCTGCCTCGACCCAAAATGGCTCCAAACGGCGTGTGTTCATCTGCCAGAAACCCAGCCCGGCCGAGCTCCTGTGTCTGAACCGTGATTTACAGGCCAATAAAGTGAATCATTGTAAATAAAACTGAAAACGAATTAAACTCTTGCCTTTGTTTAGTTGTCGAGTCTTGCGCTCTCTCTCTTTTTTTTGTTTTTTTTGTCCTAAATGAATCCAGACCTTGTTTGGATCACGCTGGCCGGAAAGAAAAGCCAGACAAAGAGTGCCGGAGAGACGAGAGTTGGTGGGTGCAGCTCTGCTGGCTGCCGGTTGGCCTGGCTCCATGCAGAGAGCCTGACATTAAATCATGCATTTTGCTTGTTTGCGTGCCTGCGTGTGTACGAGTGTGCGCGTATTGATTGGCTTACACAGCTTTATTGCGCTCCGCTGTAAATGTCATGTTTTTACAGGCTACTGTTTGATATGAACCTGATTAAAGTATTTGCTCGCTAACACAGATTGCATGCAGCAAATGACTACAAACAGACGATTAGTCAGCAATTAGAAACCGGCTAAATGACTATATGGCTGCCTGATCAAGCAGAGCAAACACCAGGTTTCCTTCCTCTCCTCCTCTCCGTCGCCCTGCACCTCACCCTCTTCTCTGTGTCTAAGTAATTTGCTGTTTGAGTCCCAGTTTGAAAGTTTTTCTAGCATGTTTTATTTGAACCGGTTGTGTTGAAACTGCAGCACCAACCTGAAAGCGTGCGCCGTGATCAGCCTCGTTCCCATTCCTGAGGAATAACGGCTGACGGAGGAAAGCAACAGATTTCAATAAGCAGCTTTTTAACTGAGAATTTACCTGCATCACTGAATCAAAACTAAAATGTTGATATTCAATTAGACGGCTACGTGTGGTGGAAACGTGGTGTTAGACGATACCGATGAATCGGGAAAAGTGACTGATGATCTTTTGATTCTTTTAGTAATCAGGCGATATGTGACGTCTTTGGTTCTTAATCTCATTTTGCACTAAACGTTCAATGATTTTTGCACAATAAAGCCGCATTACGAGAACAAACTGTTGGAATTTAACCAATAAAAATTGTGTAGTGATGTGCATGTCTTTTATTTGAGTACATTCTAATCAATGCTATAATATCTGAGTAGAAGTTATGTGTGTTTGATGGGTGAGAGAGCTAATCTACCAATTTTCTAAAATGTACTCAACAAAGTTAGTTCAATTCTAGTTATTATGGTTAATTTGATCATCTCATTTGTAAATAATATTACAAAGGGTTCATGATTGAGCAATCAAAATGTACTTAAATAGTAACAAACGTTTTTTTTCCTAGTAAAAAAAAAAAATTTTTTTTTACCCATCACTTACAGCTAAGAGGCGTCATCTATTGATAACTGCCTTAAAATATCCTAACAACTGCTGATTTAAATGGATCACATCCAACATGTGTAAATTGTAATTTATCATGACTGGGTTTGACTTTCTGTTTTCAACACAATCTTTGGTACGTGTAAAATATGCATCCTCTGGCGTTAGGGGGATACGCGTAGTGGACTGGCTGCTTTTAGAAACTTCATGAAACAGTCAGTGGGTTAAGAAGTTAAGTCTGATAGCAAGTGCTAATTTTAAAGTGATGCACATTTAAAATCCAACACGGAAACTTTCTCAGCTTTGGCAGTTTTGATGTCGTCATTCAGTCATATTACAGATCTTGTAAACATATCAGCCTTACAGTTTCCTGCTAGGCCGCCGCACATGATGGATGAGAATAACAGGCTGAACCAACATCGCAAGTTAAATTCTTAACCATAATTTAGATAAACTTTTAAATAATTTCAGCAGTGGCTTTATCGTGAAGGTACCTTAAATTCTTCTGAGCTCTCTCTTCTTATGCTTAAAACTAGCAAAATATACTTTACTGAAAAAAATTAACATTTTGCTGATTCATAACCTTATTTTATGCAGTTACGTTCCAATGAGACGATGTTAAAAAGTATTAATTTCAAGAGAGATGTGTTTAAGCCATGATGCTATTATTTACAGAGGTGGGAACAAATAAAGTAATGGACAGAAAAGTCTCATTTATACAACAATAGTGAAAGTGAAATTTATCTAAATGCATTTAGATAATGTATTTCCAGAGATCCAGCAGATCTCTGTCCCTCTCCATGCGCCTTGTGAGTCGGTGGAGTTGTGCCAGAAACTTTTAGATCTCCGTCATTTTGTTCATGTAACATCCAATATAATTCAACTGTAATATGTTATTTTTTTTTTTTTTTTTTTTACTGGTATTTGTTGTGTGTGTGTGTTCCCTGTCCATTCACCTTCTTACTCGTTTTACGGGAGTCCGCATAAAACACATCCTCACACACACGCATGCTGTGTATGTAGAAGAATGGCAGCAAGGCTGAAGGAGGTCAAATTATTTATATGTCAATATTTTTGCTGCATTTTGTTGCATGAGAACACGTCAATAAAAATGTCGCTCACAGTTTGTTTTCAGAAACGCCTCTTTATCTCATACTTTTGGCTTTCTAATGAGCCTTTTGTTTAGAAATATTTGATAACTTTAACAAATGAATAAAGATTTTTCTGGGGGTTTTTTTGTATATATACTTGCTATTTCTTTAAAATAAATGAATGTAAAAGTAAAACCGCGGGCCCCGTTAGGAAAGTCTGACACCGTGGATCCCAGGAATTATTCATCCTCACAGAAATAAAAATGTGATAAGGCAGAATTGAGCAAATTCAAATAACAATTACAGTAAATTACATGTTTTTATTATATAAAAAAGCCTCACAGGTTATCTGCATTTGTTAACGTAGCAGTTTGACTCAATTGTAGAATGACACCGACACCCAGTGGCCAAAAAGTATAACTACAAAAGCAGTATGAATTTTCTCCTACAGGAGGAAGAAGTGGGAGAATAAACGGGTTTTCTGTTCAAACTGGACTTTAAAATCCTTCTCCTCATGTCTACTGGGTCTATAGATCTCTTTCAAGCAGACACACAAACAGAATTTTACTCAATTAAGAAGAAGATTTATTTCATGCTTGTAATACTCATAATTTTAAACATATGGAGGAAAGCAAAGCAAACAGGTAGTCTTGTTCTGCTCTTGTTTCCTCCACATACATCAAAGGACATGATTTTCAACACGATGGATAGCCACATAAGTTTTTTTTATATGAAGCAGTTTGACTTAAAAAATTTAAAACTTTAGTCATTAAACTGAGATTCTGGTAGGTTTGTATAATCAGCCATGCAGATGGTTTGTGATGGAAGGAGAGCTGCCATCTTTATTTTACTAAGAGCAAACAGGTTGAGATAATGACTATTCAAAATCACCGCAAACAAAGCTTAATAAAAATAGTGCATAGTTTTTTAAAAATGTCTTCTCTATAAAATCTGGAGAGTGAAACCTGTGGCCTTCAGAACTCGCCAATCATCTGTCTGTAAAAATGTTTCAGTAGCTAGCTTTTGTTAAAAAATGAATTTTTCACATATTTTTTAAAAGCTGTCACTATGTCCTGATGGAAGAATAGAAGACAGATAAAATGCGGGGGGAAAAATATCAAGCTCCAGTGCAGAAATACACTGAATACACAGAATGTCTCATCAGTGTCAATCAGGCTCGTGTATACAACTCTCTTCTACAATTACTCTGATTTTTTTTTTGTCTCTTGCTTCTGTTCTGCAGAAGTTACACATTACAAATACT